TGGTGGTGGGGTGGTGGTTGTGGTGGTGGTGGTGGGGTGGTGGTTGTGGTGGTGGTGGTGGGGTGGTGGTTGTGGTGGTGGTGGTGGGGTGGTGGTTGTGTAGTTGTGATGATGATGATGATGTTGATGATGACGATGATGAAGGTGATCAGTTAAAACCAAAACAATTAAAATGCAATTGAAAAAATTGCTAACGATTACTACTTCTGCTCAACTAGGCTATTGACCAAATACGAAAAATTAAACAAATTGAACTAATGTTTGATCAAAATCAAGCCAATGTATTTGAAGAATTTACGAGTATATCTATCGCAGAAAAAAATTCTCCCTGGAATTTCTACCAAAAATACATCTAAAAAGCCACTTTCTACCAGCTATTTTTGGTCATATCGATGATGATGATGATGACGATAACTGCACGAGTTTAATAAATCACTCAATCAAATTAAGGCGTGTTATTAATCAGTGAGAATTAAGGTAAAGTATAATTAATTGTCGTTCCATGTCAAGTCAAGTCATTCCAGGTCAATTTAAAATGGGGTAATTCCTATTGCCATTGAAATCCCATTCATGCATGATATGCGATCGTTCGTCAATCCAAGCAAAATTAGCTCTAAACTAATAATTCATGAACTGCTATTATTTTTTTTATCGAGTACGCCTAGTGTCATGTCTCCTGCACACCACCAATTTTGCGGCCGAAGAGTCTGCGATATCCTCACTACTAGCGGAATATCAGTAGACGTGTTTTTACCCCTTTACACCCGCCCAAAACGTGAAGGATTTCAGTTCACTTGCCAGTTTACGTGGAGTTGTTGATCCGACAAACACTGCCTGCTCATAGGCATTCAGTAGAAACTTAATGTACACCTCGATATCATCCCTCCTCCAAACATGTCAACTGCTCCAAATCCAAGATTTAGCGCGTTCTACTTTCTTAGCTCTAAAAAGCCGTTTTCTCCGCAGTCGTCGAGTCAGTTAGTGATGCACAGTGCTACTCAGAGCTATTCAGTAGTCGTCATCATAACCTAATTTACACCTAGTGGTGGTGGTTGTGGTGATGTTAATGATAATGACGATGATATTGACAGTGACAAGTTAAAATCAATCCGATTAAAATGGCATTGAACAAATCACAAAAGAAATCTGCTCCTAAACAACTAATTCTCGTCTAGGCCATCGACCAAATTTGAATTTATTAAAAAATGTAATAAATTCTTGCTCAAAATCAAACCAAAACGTGTTGAAAATTCACACGCTAAGAAAAATTTTAATCGGAAACTCTACCAAAAATGCATCTACTAACCCACTTTCTATCAAATATTAAAGGTGCTGATGACGCTGATGACTACGACGAGTGCACGGTTTATTACGTCATCCAATCAAACTAAGGTGCGTTATCGATCATCTACTCATCGTCCCAGTGAGAATCAAAGTAAAGTAAATCTAAGTAATCGTCGTTGCAAGTCAAGTTGTCACTCTAGGTCAATTTGGAGTGAGGTAATTCCTACTGCGATTGAAATCCAATTCATGAAATCTAATTCATGAAATCAGCAATAAACTAATTATTCATGAACTGATATTAAGCCAATTTCAATGGAACTAAACAAATTACAAACGAAAACTGCTCCAACTCAATTAAACCTAATCCGGCCTATTGAACAAATACGAAAAATTGAAAAGTTAAGCCAATTCTTGGTCAGAATTAAACCATAGCATTTTAAGAATCCACGAGTATATCAATCTCAAAAGATATTCTCATCGGAATTTCTACAAAAAATATCTCTATAATCCAACTTTCTATCAAATATCCGTGGTGATGAGGATGACGACGACAGCTGCACGGGTTTGATAAACCACCCAATTAAGTTAAAGTGCGTTATTAAGGATCTATCATTTATCGTCCCAGTAAAAATTAAACTACTACAAATCCAATTGTCGTTCCAAGTCAAGTCAAGTCGTTCCAGGTCAAGTTAAAATGAAGTAATTCTTATTGCGATTAAAATCTAATTCGTGATATGTGATCGTTCGTCAATCCAAGCAAAATCAGCTCTAAATTAATTATTCATGAACTGCTATCTAGCAATTTTTTTTGTCGAGTACACCTGCCGTCGTGTCTCCGGCACACGTCTATCGAGAAGCTGCATTACCTCTGCAACCATAGAGTCTGCGATACCATTACTACTAACGGAATATCAGTAGACGTGTTTTTACCCCTTCACACCCGCCCAAAACGTGAAGAATTTCAGTTTAATTGCCAGTTTACGTGCAGTTAATCCGACAAATCCTTCCTACTCATCGGCATTCAGCAGACAAGCAATTTACACCTCGATAACATCCTCCAAGCGTGTCAAATACCCCAAATCCGAGAGTTGACGAGGTCCACATTTTTACGCTCCAAAAAAAGCCATTTCCACCGCAGTTTTTGAGTCAGAGAGTGCCACCCGATACTACTCACGTGCAAAACAAGCTCACACCTATTCAGAGACCGTTCCAAGTCCCTCCTCCCTCCCCTCCCTCGACAAACCCCTCTTCGAGGGGTTTGTTCTTGCCCGCCCCCCCCACCCCCCCCGCCCCCCAGGCATATAAGTCGAAGGTCCACCTGAAGCAGCTCGAAAACGGGTTATGCAGCATCTAACGAAAAAAACCGCTTTTTCACCAACTACACACCTCTCTTTACACGATTTAAGGCCATTCACACAAATACACACTAAATACCGTCACCTACAGCATCTACTCAAAGTGTTGCTTTGACGCATCAAAATTATCACAATCGTCTACTTACCCTCGTCGCGCAGATCTCATCCTCCTCCTCCTCCTCCTCTCTCCCACATTTTTTCTCCCCTCCTCCCTCCCGCTTTCCCCATCTTCTTCTTCCACCAGTCCAGTCCACTTCAACGAGTTGCCCGAGGAAGCCAGAGCGGTTGTCGCTGAAGCACTGCAGCACAAGGCATCATTCGTCCCCAGGAGGCGGTCTCTGTTTCCAAAAAATCACAAGGGGCAATGCATTAGACCGCACACTAACCACCAAACTCATTAACGTGCGACTCGTGGTGATACGCCGCCCCACGCACGCGCCGTATCCACCACACACACTCATATTGCGTCTCTGTACCGAAAACTCACCTTTACAACGCCACGCCACGCCACACAATTCCACCAAGTCACTGTGGTGCCCCGCCGAAAGTGCCATCTTCCCAAGGCACACCACCACCATGGCAACTCCAGGCAGGCACCCACTCCACACTGGCCGATTCAGTCGATGATCACGATCGGGAAGGAGACGTGGAAGAAGGAGACGCAGAAGAAGACTGCAAACTCATCTACCTAAACCACCGAATCACATTAACTAATCACACTGCATACCACTGTCTTCAGGACGACCACCGCCAACACGACCGCACACCAGCCCGTTCACCGACACACTGAAGCCTCCTCGCCTGTCGCCTCCACAACCTGCACAATCTACGACCAATCAAATTGCTCAGCCAATTACAGACTCCTATCTTTGCCCCAACAACCACTCACAATCTACGAGCCACTGCGTGCGTGCGCCAATCACCACAAAGTCATCACCAACACCACCCCTTTTTCCACGTCCAAGGCAGAGTCCGTGCTCACCGCCGTGGCGCACTGATAAGACCGCCGTGGTTGCACCCCCGCCCTGTCACTCTACTCGGCTCGATAAGGTGCACAAAGACTCACCGCCGTGGCGCACTGATAAGGCCGCCGTGGTTGCAACCCCGAGCCGTCACTCTACTCGGCCCGATAAGGTGCACAAAGACTCACCGCCGTGGCGCACTGATAAGACCGCCGTGGTTGCACCCCCCACCCACCCTCCAAGTCCGAATACTCGGCCCGAATCGGGAGGGGGGGTCCGATTGTGATTCTTCTTTGGTTGCTAGCGCCCCTCCACCTCGCACAAAGCCTTATCATAACTGCGCGCTGATAAGACCACTGGCCGTGGTGTCATTTACTTGAGCCATTTTCCATTCACGTTCTCAAGGTCATCGCATTTTGTTAATTAATTTAAGTCATTTTGCGCTTTTGTTACGCCATCCTTTCGACAAATTCACGTGCATTTCAATTCCATTCCTTTTCATTTTCATTTGCCACTTCACTAGGTGCATTTGCAGGCCTTACATTCACCAAGGTAGAGCCCTTCTTCGTCCGGTGGTTCAGGTCCATCTCACCTGCCACATTGGTCGACAATGCTCCTTCACTGTGCTCTTGTCGCCTTCACTCCAGCTCCCTGCCTCCCTCCCTCTCTCTCTCTTTCTTTCTCTAACCGGATAAAACTACTCTAGAATTTGCCAACTGCTTAAGAAACGATTGTCGCTATAACCCGGGCTAAGGCCAGTCTCGTAAGGTCCCCAGCCCCCTAGCATTTTCTTCCACTTGCTTCTACCACAGAGCCCACTAATAAAAGAAGACAATTTTATTTTATTCAATGCGTCTTGAAGGGTTTTTTGTGGTGGTGGCAGCGGCAGGATGACCAGCAACACTTGAGCAGGTGGTTCAGTAGATTAACTAACTGAAACTTGCCCTTTGGTAAGCCATGCGGATCGGTACCACGCAGAAAGTGTTCAATAAGAGGCTCCAGGACTATTGACTTGTTTGCCTTTTTGTCCTCATCATTCATCTCCTTTTCTACAACTTCTCCGGCTCGCTTGACGGAGGCGCCAATTAGATGGAGTTTAATGGCGATTGGCTCGTGAGTTCGATGGGGAGTAAAGTATTGCCCCACCAAGTCTTCTAAGACAGAAGTCACATGTTATGCACTTGTCCAGTAGTGGTTTCCCCGAAGCGCAGGATAGATACATAAAAGTCCACATAAATTAAAACAACACTATTAAAGGGAAAATAGATTATTTTGGTGTAGGGTAGCGTAGCATGGTGAAAGGATGAGTTCGGAATATCAAAAAAGTTGCAATATTTCAAAATATGGAACGTCAAAGAACATGTGATTAGTCCAGCAAAGCTCACCTATACCGGTGAGAAGCTAGGCCGTGTGACCAACTTGTGAAGAGGCTCAATAAGGTCATTTGACAGATAGAGGTTCGTGGAAGTCTTCTTTCGAGAGTACTGAAAGGCTTCCTCTTTCTCAATGAAAGTATTAATTAAGGCTGTGGCAAAGGGATTCCCTACAGTCCAAATCAACCGTAATCACCCGGGTTTACCAACAAAAGAGGCCATTTCGGCAGCTGTCCTCCTCAGGCAATTCGTAACCTCAGTTTTGGCACCACAAGACAGGAGAAATTCAACGACATCGAGTTTTCCACACTAATGATACTAATTTATAATACATAAGTAGCCATACGAGAGCCGCAAACATCAAGGCAGTCTACCCCTGTTTGTGTTTAGACCAGTTGACACTAGCCCCGGAGTCTACCACAATTTGAGCCATTTCAACGTTTCCACGGTAACAGGCTTGAAGCAAAGCCGTTATGCCATCCTACAAAATTATGCCATAAATTTGCGGAATGCGGTTCATTTCGTCTGGTTCATCGACATTCATCTGAGAAGAACTTAGAAGAGCCTTAACCTTCGCCACATTGCCTGGCAGATTCGATTAATGATGTAGAATTGCCATCAAGTACAGCTGCGTGAAAGGTTTTTACTCATTGTGTGAGATTGCTCTCATCCCTATTTGAAGACGCGAAGGATCAAGCGCAGAAGGACACTGTGCAATTGGGCTGAAGCTGCTTTGAGTAGTGTCCATTCAAGGTCCTTCGAAATTTTTCATTTATAGCACTTTTTGTTATTTTATCGCCCATGACTTAACTGAAAGCACATCTCAGGAAGCGCCGTAGGGATTTCCTTTAGAAATCGACCGCATAGATGGCTGTTGATATGATGAATCCCTGGAATTGTAAAAGATGGATCTAGAGATTCGAAGCTCCTAGAAAGTGTCTTAGTCAAAGAGAATAAGCCAGACGCAGCCTTACTTTAAAAATAGCTGAAGACTAGTTAAGCTTACATATCTGCTGATTGATTTTTTGATAGGAAAGGCAATAGTAGCAAACTGGATATTTTTAAGCGCTGATAACTATTTCAGTACCTTCTTGTCAACGAGACGAGACAGGCCTCGGATTCTAAGGCTAATGATCTCCTCATGGTGAAGCTTTAGTTGTTTTAAGACCTACAAAGCAGATGAAGTCTATCGCATTTTTCCTTCACTTGAATTGAATGCAAAACGAATAAGTTGGAATTGAATCTGACCTCGCTATCTTTTACAGCTATATTCTTTATCAGCGGTCAACTGACTTAAAGTGGACTAAATAACCTCCAACTTCATTGGTCTTGAAATCGACTTGTGCGCTTTTCAAATGAATGTCGCAATTTTTGTGCAAGCATATGTGACTGCTCTTTTTCCATTATTTAATTGACCTTCTAGAAAAAAACGATCAAAAGCAGTTTTTCTACTGGTTCATGCAGCAATTGCCAGTGAAGCCAGGCTATGAACATACAAATTGCATTGACTGATAGTGTGTGTGTTCCACAAGTTCCCAGAATTCTCTAATCGACGTCACTTGCATTAAACGTGAATTGGAAACAGCGAGGCTCGTGAGCCAGCCTAATTTTGGCTCTACAATTTGGACATTTCCAATATCATATAATTGTGGTGTGTGCTTCTTCTAGCATAACCTACCCACTTAGATATTGTCAATGCTCAGGAAAACAAATATTGACTCCGGAAGTGAAATTTGACTTGGATACAATTTCCTATTCTCACCTACCGTGTTAAGTTCGAAGGTCTGGATTAAGGGCTAAGATTATTATTACATTGAATGTCATTCCAAAAAGAAATCTTTCCACAATATAACCCGTAGTGCATTTGACGCATAGTTTCCATTAAGGTGATTAATTCACCTGTTCATAAAGGCTGTCGCAAGTACCCAAATCACATTAGATTTTATTTTTTTGGTTCAATTCCTAATCGGTGGTCATTGGTGTTGTATGCAACAGAAGATGCAACCCTTTGGCTCACGGCACTGTAAGAGTCAACTAACATGGCTAAAGTAGGCATTGTTTTATGTTTGTGATGTTGTACTATGCTAAAATTAACTGCAGACCTGTAAACTTCATGGATTAATAACGTGTTCTAACTAGATAAAACACAATTTCCTTGTGAATACTAAGAGTGGAAGTTGCTGATACAGGTGACCAGCTTGAAATGCTAGTCACTAAGACAAAGGAGTGAGCGATGGAAATCACGCTTTGTTTATTTTCTCTATCTGAATGTCCTTCGAGTCCCAAATTATATTAAATTGCATGTTTGTTCGGTATTAAAAATCAAAAATGCAGTTGCAAAAGAACAGCGATCCCAAAAATTTGCTCCTCCCTGAAGTGTGTGCTAATTTTTTAATTCAAATTATGCTTTTAATTGCAGTTGCGCATCATTAACTGTACTAACTGCTTAAGTGTTCCTGAGAGAATCTTGAAACAAAAATTAGACTCTCGGTAGTGAAAAAACACCATTTCAGTTTAAAATCTTGCCACTGGTCATGCTTTTGTCGGTTCAATAATGCAAAATTTTTTCGAATTTGTCCCTTG